AAATATTGGATAGTATTGTGCAAGGTCTCTCGTATGACTATCATTTTAAGTATATGGTTTATGGGGGTGTGACTTTTAGTTTTCTCAAAAGTTCATGGGTACTTTGGAATTATGGATGTTCCTTTGGTTGAGCCTCTTCCACAAAGCTATATTAGATAATGGGTGTGTGTGTGTGTAATTTATTAGTTTTGTTCTCCAGAGGAAAAATTGAAGAAATTATATATTACTTTTAATTATTGATATGGTAAATCCATCCTAACGATACTTCATGCTAGTCCTAGACGGTGACGCCATTTTCACATAAATAAAATCCATTACTGATTTGCAGGATTTAAACACGATTTCTGGCTACGCAGCCCTAGGCTCTACCACTAGACCAGCTCGGTCCCCAATTAATTTATATTATTGAATTGCTGATAACAAAACACTTGCTCATCAGCTACCGTAGTTATTCACTTAGGGGAGGTAGTTTAATCATTATCAAATCAAATAAGATAAGAGGTAAGAATGGGTAATCCATGCTAGTATACTTAAAATAAAGTATACCTACTTTACTAGTATGAAGTAAAGGATAAATGTATATATTTTTACTAACTATAAGGATGGAAATTATAGGCCTACTACACACAACGCCTATATAGGTAGGCCTATTCCAATAACCATACTAACCTACTATTTGAATATTTGGTTGATCTAGATGATGGGCTTCCATTACCAACGTAGACTATTCACTTTTGATGACATCGGGAGATGACTGTTTGGGACTTGAAATTTTGCACGGTTTTTAGTTTTAAGTACAACTCACTAATTTTTCTAAAATGTTTCATATTTCAACTAAACTAACCCCTTGTATGCCCCCCCCCCCCCCCCCCCTCTTTTATAGTCATTACACGTGTATTGGGCTAAAGCACTTAAGAGTTGAGCTAGATACTTAAAACTAGCAGGATTGTTGGCCTATAGCACGGCCACCTCTAATACAGGTATCTCTGATATGTATGTAATATGTATCAGGTACCTCTAATATGTATTAGAGGTGGCCGTGCCTATAGTCCTAATAGGCCAAATCCGAAATATTTGAGGAACGTGGTATTATATCTGTTTAACCCCCCCCCCTTCCATAAAAAATATAGTAATTTCTCATAATAGTCGGTAAGACCACTTCTATAGCACATGAACTTTCTATTTTGCACGGTTTTAGCGAATTTTCCTATAGGAAAGTAGCTATTTCCGTAGGTGGCATCTTAGACCCGGGACCAATTTTTATTTTCATTTTGATGTCCCCAGAGACCAAAAACACTATTCATTCAAATTTGTATATAACTTATATACTAGCTGCTGTACCCGTGTTCGCAACGGAGAGGACACCGAAGAGTAAAATGGGATGTTTAATCTGTTCTGTGAGATATAAGACCTTTGGATTCAGGAACAAAATTTAATTGGACATCGTTTGAAACAAATATATTTCTTTATAGCTAGGAGTGGCTGATTTATGTATGAAAAAACTGTAACATACGATTAAGTTTTTAAGCCATAAGCTTACTTAAAAGTTGACTTAGTTAAAAAAACTTACATCTATATATTTAATAGGCCAACATTAATTTGTTGATAGTTGTTTGAAGTTGCCACACATCCGATGACCATGTTTAAGGTGTTATTGGATAGGTCGTGGCCTGTAAATTTGCCATCAAGCAAAAAATCTTTGAAATTCCATCAGGGCTCTGCCTCAGTGGCCTTAGAAATTCCCGAGTTATTCTTAGGGAGAAAATGTTTGTTTACAATTGAACGGATGAATAATTTGAAATTTACACTAGTATTTTAAACAGCTTGTTGTACTAAAATTTAAATTAATGGAGACATACGAGCTATAATGAATTATTAGATTTGTTGAAAAGGTAAAAACTTACTCTGTTTTTGTGGTTTAAAATTTTGTTTGCATTCTTCTGTATGATTATTGAAGTTATTGTAATTAATTTTAAGCATGTTCATCTCCAAAAAGAATATTTGATTATATCGGAAGAAAGGATGGGCGGGTTCCAAAATTTCTGGAAAACGCCATTGTTGTATTAAGTAAGGAATCTCCATATGTCGTCATGCTTGAGGAGTGACTGTAGGTAAAGGAATGACTGAAAAACATGTGGAAATGTGCAAAAAAATTAAAGGAGTCTTTGCGAAATTAGCAGGCCAGAGCCAATAGAGGCATGACTGGTAAGCATTTTATGACGCTGTACAAAGGGTGTAGAGCCAGCAATGCTGTACGGATGCCAATTCTGGTGTAAGGATGTTAGGAAGATAAGATTGAAATGGAAACTTTTGAGTTTGCAAATAAGAGTTTTGCTGAAATAGTATCATACAACACAGTATTGCATGATACGATTAGGGTTTTGACCGGAGCCATACTACTCGACCTGCTAATTGAAGAAAGGATTAGGATTTTGGAAGACAAGGCGGGTAGGACTATATCGGAAAGCAAGAGTGCCAGAAGAGAAGAGACATTAGATGAGATGCTATAAGAAGAGCTATGTTGCCAATGCCCTTATAGCCCTAAAATGTTTATACATACTTGGTTTTTTTTCAGCCAGCAGCTATTATTCCTAGTTTTGCATACCAAAAGGGTTAGGCTTTTTGAATGAGTTCAGCAATACAAAAAATGTTGAAAAATATATTTTATGTACGGAAATCCTGTTTTAACAAGACGCTCAAGCCTTCCTCACTGTCTCTGTTATGTAAGCTAGCAATTAGTTGAGCATTCCTCAACTTGATAAATCTTAGTTTGAGATTTTACTCCACCATCATCTCTGTAATTTACATACAACATATTAAAGGAACACAATGAAATTATTCTTCTAGCTTCCCAGCCATCCGTTTATAGCTGTAGTTAACTTTCTTAGCGTGCTCTTTGAACTGGCTAACGTTTTACTTAACCGAAAACTACTAGTGACTTAATTCAAATTGACTATATTGTTGCGCTTGCAATTAACGTAAAAATATTAAATGAGTTAAGATTAGGCGTTAAGAACTGTTAAGATTAGGCCTGCAAATTGAAGTTTATAAAAAACAAACTTAAGTGGCCGAGATTTCAGTCAAAATTTGTAGTGCAAGCCCTGCTATTTCAATTCTAAACAATTCTGGGTAATTTAAGCTAGATAACTTTAAGCCGATATAAATAATACTAGTGTACCTGTTGCTCGAAATCGAGCAATTGTCAAGTACCGGTATTACACAGAAGTTATTTTAAAACTGCAGTAATAACAGTCATAATTTTTGATGAGTCTAAAACACCCGACTAAATGCTTATGTAACTAATTGAAATACTCCCGGTATTTAATAGCGCTTTGAAATAATAAACGCTTCTTGTACAAATATTTTAGAATTTTTTGGACCCGGCCTTTTTTTTGTGTTTTCTACAAATGTTTCCCGAAATCTGTTACCAGTAAACATTTCTTGTATGTATTTATTTGATCTGACTTTAGGTAGGTTTACTTTACCACTGTGACAATATTATGTGTATATTCTTCATGTTTTTTTTTTTTTACTTCCAAAATAACTTGCTTAGCATAATTGGCAAAAGTTATTCATCCCCAGAAGTGATTGTGTACCTGGATTCCTTACTGTGAGACCAGGCCTCTCCTCTACTCTTCTGATAAGAATAAGATTCCCTATTAATTGTCTCCTCCTCCTGTTTTCAACATTTCTCCTTTAAATTCAAGAAATTTTCTGTTCCAACAAAACTGATTAACTGTTTAGGTTTTGTTTATAAACTCCTAAATATTACAAACATCAATATTTACTCCCAAAAAGCTGGTGAGTTTATTAGCGAATTTCCCTATAGGGAAGTAGCTAAAATTACCGTAGGTGGCACCGTGAGACCTAGGCCCGGGACCGATTTACTTTTTCATTTTGATGTCCCCAGAGGCCAAAAACACCATTCGTTCAAATTGTTATATATGTATATATATACATAGATTTATATATATATATACGTCCGTGAACGCGATAACTTGAGTAATTTTTGTCCGATTTTGATGAAATTTCGTTTAAAGGTGTAAGGCGGGATAAACTTGAATGAGTTCGCGAACCAGCATGATTGGACCATGGGAACGGGGTTTTACGGGGGGTTTAATGGGGTAAAAAATGGGTTTTCTCATTTTTGACCCTCAAAACACAAAATTTCCTAATTTATCTCTAGACCTTTTTAAAGAGCTTAAAAAAACAAATAATTTGGTATATCAAAGTGTTTTTGTACGGTTATTGGTAACAGAGAAAATTCAAAAAAATGTAAATGTAAAATTCCCATACTATTATGGAGAGTATTGTAAAATGTTGTAGTTTGCTTGTTTATGGATATATTTTGATCATAATTGGCAAATTTATTTATTTTATACTAGGCTATTACTATTTTACAAAAAAATACACTTTATTTGTTTCCTTGTTACAGCAAACCTAGGTACTCATTAAACCTAATGTTATTTAAAAAGGTTTAGTTGAAAATGAATTCAGACAAATGGAAATTCGCTTAGTCGGCACGTTTGTTGCGGCGGGGGTATTTTTATACACAGCTGTTTTTGCTTTTCAATTTATTTTCAATGTAATTCTTATGGGGAAATGAGACCTTTGAGAGTGTCTTGACCCTTAAGGGTAAGAGATTTTAAATTCTAAAATCTTTATGCAAAACTACGAATTGTGACAAATTATTTGACACCTCAAACGTTAAAATCAGTCCAGAAATAACGGAGGAGTTTTGTTCACAAAAAACAGCCCTCACGTATTAATATAAGAGATTGTTTGTATTAATTACAACTTTTTCACTTGTTATTACACTAGAGAAAATACAATATATTATTGGAAATCCCTCTTATATGATAACAGGACAAAAGGTCTACACGATTACTGACGTTTTCAATTACATACCATACCACTGTCAAGTTGATTTGATTTTATCAGAGACATAGAGGTGCAGTAAGCTGTATAACAGTGCATTTACTAAGAGATGACAGACTTACCCTGATGAAATAACAAAACATGTTGGCTCAGTAGACAGGCTGGGGTGGACCGGGTCGGCCCGACGGATGGGTCATCGGATAGAATGTCCAGGGGACTCGACAAGCTCTTGAGGCTTCCACATAACCTCTACAATGGTCCGTCACACACCTAACACCCAGTCGCGACCTCGAGACCTCACGCGACACCAAACATCACGCAACAAGACAAAACACCAGATCCAAGACAAATCAACTCACCGGTAACAGTTGAAATCTAATAGTTTAAGTTTCTCTGAAGCGGACATAGCTCGGGGTGGAATTTTCAAACCTGAAACAGAACAAAATATATAGGGTATAATAACTTATTTCTTATAATTATGAATCAAGTTTCCTATTCAGTTTCTTCATATTAATAGTAATATTATTTGTGTTTTTTTTTTTTACAAATAACCTTAAGTGACAAGGTTTAATTGACCAATATCAGACTTAAATTCTGTAATACAATAATGCTGCAAGACAAACAGTGAACAGGATATGCCTTCTTCACCAGTTCTAAAAAGTAGGTACATACTTTGATCTTCAGCAAAATGGATTGGTAACTACAGATATGTCATCATTACAGACCTTAAATCTATTAGGTAGCGTTGGTAGAGTTTAACTATTATTTATTACTAGTTGCTCTGCCCGTGCTTCGCTTCAGGGTGAGAATGCAGAAAAGAATAAGTCGCTTTTTTCAATATACTAGGCCTATAAGAAACAGTTACAACACACTTACCAGGAAACATATAGGCAAAGCTCAATCGTACTTATTGGTTATTTAAATGCAGATTTTTAAATGTGTTATCATCACAAAAGAGGGCAAAAAATATGTCTACACAAAAAATACTTATTTTGACACATCGTTTGTAAAGATCCGTCCATTATTAACGGATGAGTAGTGTTTTGTATAAATCGCCTTTACGTATTATACCTGTTCTAGTGCACCTGTTGCTCGAATCCGACCAATTGCAAAGTATTACAGGCGTTAATTCAAAACTAATAACAGTCATGATTTCCGATGATTTAAAAGAGTTAACTTGAAGATAATGTAATCAATCACTCCACTCCAGTTATAGAAACTGAAAACGAATGCTCTTGTGTGTACCATGCGTTTACTATGAACAGCTGTACATAGTAAACAGTTTGTATTCTTTGTATGCAATTAATACAAATTATTTGTCTGTTTAAGTAAACAAAATTTTTTCTTCATAAGAAATACATTGGGATTTTGATGGCCTGTGGGGCAAAGCCTGAGGACTTTTATTAAAGTAATTGGTAAAAGAGGGCGTCTACACAAAAAAAATACTAATTTTGAAACATCGTTTGTAAAGATCCGTCCATTAACGGAGGAATAGTGTTTTGTAGAAATCGCCTTCACGTATTATATATAAGGATAAGGATTTTATTATTCAAAAGACACTTATATAAAGCGTTTATAAACTAATTTTTAACCAATTTCAACACCTTTCCATATTTATTTGGTAATGCCACACAATAGCTCACTTGAACAAAAAATTATGTGAAAAAAACAAGCTTCAACACAAATCTAAACGCTCACCTCCTGACACATCAAAATATTTCACATTGTACAAACCGTATGTCAATGAATGGGGAAATGTATCACTCAACACATTCAAATCACCGATTAATAAAACAGAGTAAGGTGGTGATGACTAACAAGAAATGTTTTAACATTTGTAAAAATGATAAAGAAATAAGTTGTTAACTAAGTTGTTATTATATGCTTATTCTAAATTTAAGAAAATATAAAAGTTAAGGTGTTAAATAACCTGGTACCTTGGTACCTAACTCGTTCAAAAACGTTAATCATAGACTATGAACAAAATTATTTTAGCAAAGGAAATTCATAACATTTTTAGTATCTACATGCCTTTGATAAAACATACCTTTAAACCTGATTTACAAAAGGCTATACTGTAGTTTACAATCACTTAGTAGCCTATCCGCAGAGTTATATTAAACATATTTTTTTAAGTATAGGGTTTTAAAATTTAAATCTATTCTTGCCTGTTTTTGTCAAATCTATACCGTAGTTCTTTAGTTAAAGCAACTAATATAATCGTCATGAGCAATAGCTTAATATTTTAGTCTTAAATGGAACCTACCTTTAATAAAAATTAGATGTGGAAAATATGTTTTGATATAAATAAACATCGTGTTGCTGTAAAATGTGTTTACTTAGCCCTCTGAGGGCTTGATACAAAAGCCTTCCATTACCTCATGATTGGGAAAAGCTAAACCTATGTACAACCTATTGTAGCATAGTAAAATGTTTTTGTAGTCACCACCAATCAATATGACAACAATTGATGACAAACTACTGACATTATTAAGCCTTGTCAAATGCCTCGGCCTCTTGTTGGATTATTCTTCCTTATTTCATCATACAAATTTTATACGAAATGTCTATGAGGCCACGGTAATGTTCTAAAATTAGGATGCCTATGTGTTTGGAAACCAAACAAACCATTTGAACACCCTAAGCAATATGGGAATGCACCTGAATGTCATTTAAAATACATTCGGGGGAACTCTCATATTGTTAACAAGGGTAAAAAAAGATGCATTTATGGGAACTGTAGGAAAAAGCTTAGGGAGCGGTCCAAACCCTGGTCCTGTTACTATCTAACGTCGACATGTTGTTCGAAAGCATCATTAATTGATAGCCCAATGACAAATGGCAACACGATTACGATATCACTTGGAATCGAACCAGCAAAATTTAAATTTGTACGTAGGTACTAATCCACAATATCTCCAGGTATTTTAGAATTTTTTTGAAATTTTGACTTTTAATAGTGATTTTCCAATAAAAAGCCAAAATTAGATTTTTTTCGCAGATGGACAAAACGACTTTAATAAAGATTTAGTATGTTGTAGCCACCCTTTAAATTCTGAACAAAATAGTATAACTCCCATTCCTGTACTTAATTACGGTCGTTATTGTAACATACGTATTGTACATAAGTTATTGTAACTTATGTCATTTTCCCATAAAACCCTATGAAAAAACAAAAAATGGATTTTAAAAACAGTTTTTGATTGAATGACCTTTGAGGTACCTTATCGTTCTAAAAAATATAGTCCCCCCCCCCCCACTATTGCTGCAGCCTGATTGCTGTAAAAGTTACGATTCCAATGTTACTTTTGTAATTTTACCTAATAAATATCATAGTTACATAGTTACTAAATACCTATTAAATATAATTATTACTCTGATCAATTATCCATGATAATGGTGGTTGACAAGCTAATGCGAGATAGTAGAAGTTTTAGATAGATTGCTGATTCAATAATGTAACTAAAGTAAACATTATTTTCTGTTTAGGAACGATTGCGTCTTCTTCGTCCGACGACATCCTTGACACACTGTACTGATTATTACGCGCCTATTCTTCGGCAACAAGTTTTCCACTAGTTGCTCTCAATAAGTGAGGAGCAAAATTTAGTTGTCAACTTTTGGTTGTAAACTTTTAAGCCGCGTTTACACCAAAGTTGACAACCAAAAGTTTACAACCAAAAGTTGACAACTAAAAGTTGACAACTAAATGTTGCTCCTCACTAATTTAGAGCAACTAGTGGAAAACTTGTTGCCAAAGAATAGGCGCGTAATAATCAGTACAGTGTGTAAGGATGTCGTCGGACGAAGAAGGTGCAATCATTCCTAAACAGAAAATAATGTTTACTTCAGTTACATTATTGAATCAGCAATCTGGCACATACTATCTCCCATTAGCTTGTCAACAACCATTATCGTTGATAAGTGATTAGAGTAATAATGATATTTAATAGGTATTTAGTAACTATGTTACTATGATATTAGGTCGCTGCACGACTGTATATTGTTTAGAACTACAAGGACCTCAAAGGTAGTAATTCAAGGGTCTTTATTTATCATACTAAGTCTTTATTAAAGTCGTTTCGGCCATTTCCGAAAAAATCAAATTTTCCGTCTTTTTATGGGAAAATCACCATTAAAAATCAAAATCTCTATAAAAAATTCTAAAATAGGTACCTGGAGATATTATGGATTAGTACCTACATACAAATTTTAATCAAAATCAGGCCACAGGCGTGGTCTATAGCTCTGTACACATCCAGAGTTATTATCAGAAATCAGAAATCAGAAAATCTTTATTAGGCATAATTGTATTAAAATAAGTTAGAAAGATAGCTACCGTAACATTTACCCTATTATAATAATTAAAATAATTCAATAATACACATTTACAATATGTATACAATATGGGAAGGGGAATAATTCTCCACTAGTTTTCAACAAGTTGCTTGCGCAAAGCGCGTAGCAACTAGTCTTCAACTTTTTGTTGTCAACTTTCTTTGATCTTACCGACTCTCCGCGGGAAACCAAAATTTAGTGGAAAACTTGTTGCTCCACTAGTTGACGACGGAAAAAGTTGCTGCATTTTGTAGAAAAAGCAACAAGTTTCCGAAACTAGTCGACAACCTGGTTGTCAACTTTGGTGTAAACGCGGCTTTAGTTGTCAACTTTTGGTTGTAAACTTTTGGTTGTAAACTTTTGGTTGTCAACTTTGGTGTAAACGCGGCTTGAGCTTCCTGAGCAAGTGGCAACAGGTTTTTTCAAGTCTTAACATGAAACTCTATTGTTGTACCGGTAGGCTACTGTTATTTGCAGGTCTTTGCTCAGTCAGTATCTAGTGCACCTTGATGAAACATTAAATATTATATTGCAAGTGTTTAATGAAATGAAATGAATGAAATGAAAAATGTCTTTTTTAAGAGTTCAAGTTAGGACTTACAATTCCTCCCTACCACTTAGCCTCTAAAACAATTAAAAACTATTCACTTATATAAATAAATTTAAATAATCTAAAGTCCTATATGTTAAATAAGAAATCATGAAGAAATTCAATTTAGTAGCCCTAAAAAATCCCATTCACACAAGCTGCCAACAACCTGTCACACCAGCGCCAGAGACTCACCCACACCTGCTGTTCAATATAATAGATTTTATCTCTGCCCCAAACCTCGCACGGTTTTCTCTGGGTTTTATATGATCAGGAAGAGAATTCCACATTCAAATTGCCGATACCAAGAAAGATTGATTTAAAACTGTTGAATTGGTGTAGATAAAAGGTGAGAGCCTCTACGAGTGGCATGGGTACTGATGTTAGAAATAAAATGGAAGTTATCTGATAAATACTTGGAAATTTTACTATTGATAATGGAGTGTAGAAGACGGAGGGTGTGAAATTCCCGAAGTTCATTTAACTTCATCAATGAAAGCAGGTTGAAATAGGGAGTAACATGGTCATATCGCCTTAATCATGAATCCGATACAGGAATTCTACGTTAGCTGAAGTCTGCTAGAAACTTCATTAGTGATGTCATTGATCACCACATCACAGTTGTTGAAATGAGTCAAGATGAGAGTTTTTACTAACATGATTGGAGGGAAGAAGTTACCAATTGTGGCAGAAGAACTTTTAAATCCATCAACCTACGTGGCTTGTACATATGATGATCGATGGTACTTCGGAGTCATAACTGAACTTAATAAAGAAGAATGTGATGTGACAGTACAGTTTTAATGCATCCTGCAGGGCCATCACCATAATTTCAATGGCCTAAGCGAGAGGACATTTGCCCTGTACCAATTCGCACGTACTGGCAATTGTTGATCCACCAGACACTGCTACAGGAAGAACATACAAATTCCCAGAAAAATGTACAGTATGAGATCAATTGAAGAGAAATGTTCAAAAACTCCATCAAATTATTTGTACATCTGTACTGAATGTAATTAAGATACTTAAATAAATGAAATATATATGTAAGTACAAGACATTATTGTTCATAATTTTAACTATGGCGTTTGTACATATTAAATTTAAGTTCTTGAGACAGTTATGGGTTAAAATACAGTAGAACCTCTTTAATCCGAACCCCCGTAATACGAACGTCCACTAATCCGAACCCCTCATTGCTGTACTCTATACACAGTACAGCAGTTCTTTATTGTATACTGTATTTAATGTACAGTACTGTTTATTCACCATGTTTACTACTGTATTAAATAAACACTGTATTTTAATTTATAAAACATTTTTTTCACTTTCACCAAAATAATTTAGATCAATTTTAGCCATGTTTTAGCTATTGTTATGTAAAAACAACAAAATGTTCTGTATTCCGAACTATTCACTAGTCCGAACTACCCCTGGTCCCAATTAGTTTGGATTAAAGAGGTTCTACTGTATGATGATATTAATTTAGTAATAACTAGCTGTGTACCCGTTCTACGCACGGGGATCTTATAATATTCAGTTGAAACCTTCTTATATAAAGAACAGCAGTTGGTTTGCATATTTTAAGATATGCTGGCCAAACTATTATACATAGCTTCATTTTATGTTGTTTTTTGTTGTTCCGGATCGGTATGACAATCAATAAAAGGTTAAATTACCTCTGTGTCTGCCGGTCGATCCTATAACGGTAGGCTTACTTTTATTTTTACTATCTGATCTCGTTTGCATGGCTCAATCACGTCCTGGTTGAAGTTCGTTCGCTACGCTCACTCACCTGTATGTTGGAGCTCGTTCGCTGCGCTCACTTTCCTTCAGGTTAGCTCGTTCGCTACGCTCACTTGCCTTCAGGTTAGCTCGTTCGCTACGCTCACTCGCCTCCAGGTTGCAAATTAGCTGTTGTCATAAATGTAAAAGAAATAATAGTGCTAGTGCTGCACCCTGTTGGTAATCCTTGTAACTTTAATGCTATTGAACATCACAGAACAGAACCAACTTGTTTAATTGAAACAGCTGTTAAGATTCAATAATTTCATTTCTCATAAGGTTAACATGGGCTTCCAGAAATTCCACGTCAAAAATCGACAAAAACTTGATTTTCAAGGGTTTACTGTTAAATATCTAACTGTCTCATATTCGATGAAATACGTCTAAAACCATCTCATATATGTATAGTATTTGGAAAATAAGTTTCAGGCGGGACAGTGCTATAGTTATTGAGGAGTAGTTGTAATAAAGTGTGTATTTTAGCGTTACCAAGAGAATGACAGATAGACAGACAGACAGACAGACAGACAGACAGAAATTGAGATAAGGTTTGATTCGGTTTCTCTGACCTATGAAATGTAAAAATAACCAAAAAGTTCATTATTCTAAGCAATGTACAGACAAAACTCTAATTTTATTTATATAGATTAATCATTAGGCCTATCAAGTTCTTTCTAATGGTAATAGTGTAAGTCTAGGGCATTTTAATTCCTTGAAATCCTTACAGTTCTGTTTCAAATCATACGGGAAAAAAATAAATTCATAATTTGATTTTTGACTTAATAAAAAACAATGAAGGTATTAAAACCCCATGAATTTTTTTGCACCATCTGATAGCTTACATATTTAATAAGGATTATTAGTAAAAAAAGGTTTTTGTGTTTATCTAATACCCTTTCTTAGATAATCCATTTTACGCTAAACAATGTCTTCGCGTTTTAAAAATTAATAGGTTACAAAAAAGAAATTTTTTCAGCCTTATTAGAACTAAGAGGTATTAGTATTTTTTCTGGAATCCTCATATGTCTTAAAGAATAAGTACATGAATTTTCATGAAGATTCTTCAGTAAACAGAAAAGTTATAAATTATTTTCTAAAAGTAAACAAGTTTTATTCCGCGACATCTGATGGTTAGCACTAGCGGAAATGAAAAACGTTAAAAGGCTATAAAAAGAAAACGGTAAGAGGTATTGAGTTAAAATTTGGTATGGTGACTTATCTTTATGGTTAGAACAAACACGCCAAGTTTCATCAAATTCTGAGATGGTGGGTGAGATGACCTGGTTGAACTGATATGGAATTACCCATAGTTAAATTTTAGGTTATATCTGCATAATAACACCCAACCTACCTACCTCAAATGTCTAAAATAAGTAAGAACTGAAGTAGTTCATAATCAACGTTCAGTTGAATTTATAAATCCCTCTACCTCTTTGTCCTCTCTGTACAAACTTAATGTTTATCGTGTTAACAGTACAGGAATGGCGACAGGAACAAGCAGACAATAAGAAGCACAATAATAAAATTCAAAGTATTGTAGTTAATTCAGTTTTTGTGACAGCAGACAAATTTGTGCACCATTGTTTTCAGGTAAGAATCTAGTTTCAAATGATTACTATGGTTCCCTGAGGTAACCTTTCGACAAAATTCCCATAAAAGGGTCTATCAATCAGGTCCAATGTGCACATCAAGAGGAACAGGCCAACATAACTAATCTGTCTATGGCAGAACTTTGGAGGTTGGGAGATTTGGTTAGGCCTAGGCCTATTCTCTGTCATTCAAAACCAACTTGAAATTTTTGTTGAAGGACCTTGAACGTGTTACTTATTTTCAGGCTAATCGAGCATTAAAAAAATTGAGCATAATTGAACTCAACCCATGTTTAGGTTGAAAGGGTTCAAAAGACAAAGCCAGCCTAGGCCTACTTTGTCCAATGGTTTTTGTTAAAAGGGCTAAAGTTAAAGGTATTATACCTTAGCCTAACTTAATGCAATGGATTTGGGACAACTAGCTTATTACATTCATTTACAACTGAACTAAGTGATGTGTGATTGAACTAGGCCTAATAAGTAAAACTCCTTAAAATAACTTTGGATCAGGTGTTTTTATTTACAAGTGGTGGAATATTATGATCCTTGCTAGTTAGTTACAAAGAGGCCTACTTACATTGTATGGATGGTATAGCGAGTGCTAGGGCAAGTGGTTTTATAATATCTAGCACAATATACACAATCAAATATGCACTGATATGAATGAAATCACAATAAATGGATAGAAAGCAAACAATTCCTTGCCTCGAAAATAATATAAATATAGCCGGACGCGTGCAGACGACCGTCCTAAAGTGTGAGATACGCAATGAAAGACGTCACTCTCATTTCAGTTTGTCATTTGATTAAATTCGTCTGTACAGTGTACAGTATGATAAAAACAATCATAGATGGCAGCACCTGTCGACAAGGACGATGGTGCGTCGACAAGGACGATGGTGCAGCCGGCTGGCGGCAATGCAAAGTCAACAACTTGCCTGAAGATAGCTGACGATCCTATCTGACGAGTTTAGATCGTAAAAAGGGAGTATGTTTTATCTATGGTAAAACTGTCTATTGCAAACAATAGGTACACTCTCTCCAAACGACAACAGACCTGTATTGTGTCACGGACTTTCCAGTTCGAAAATGTCTAATAGAACGATAATATTTAAGTGTAGGGGTATTTTATAACTTCCTAATAAACCTAAAATAAGACAGATTTTCACGGCCATCTTATTAAATTTCCGATGTATTAATCTGTGGTATAGCTGAAGATATTACGAACAAGAACCTTAAAAAATCAGTTCCAAACACCGGGTGTAACGGATTAGTTTAGAGTGACTAATAGAATAAATGGTGATATTCAACGACTTGCACCGCAAAAACTTAGGTGGTACTGATAATTAGCATACACCCAGGTGATAAATAATAGCAAATTCTTGGATAGTAATGCACTATAACATAAATATCACCAACGCGAACCCTAAAAAATCAGCTCTGAACATTGCATATTAGGGGATGGCTCGCATATAGTTTTGGAATAAATTGCGTTTTTCAAAGACTTACATTAAACACGCTTAATGGGTATTGATAGTCGGCTTTTACAAATGCTATGAACAATAATACGTTCTAGTATAGCTAACTATTAGAGTATAGATAACACGAACAAGTACTTTAAAAAAAATATAGCTCCAAATATCGGATACTACGGAATATTTCAGGGTTAGCTAAAGAATAAAGTGTGATATTCAACGACTTGCACCGCAAAAACTTAGGTGGTACTGATAATTAGCATATTTACATGATGTAAACAATAGTAAATTCTAGGATATTAAATCACTAGAGCATGAATATCACCAACGCGGACCTTAAAAAATCAGCCGTGAACATTGCGTATTAGGGGATGGCTCCGGAATATTTCAGGGTTAGCTATAGAATAAAGTGTGATATTCAACGACTTGCACCGCAAAAACTTAGGTGGTACTGATAATTAGCATATTTACATGATGTAAACAATAGTAAATTCTAGGATATTAAATCACTAGAGCATGAATATCACCAACGCGGACCTTAAAAAATCAGCCGTGAACATTGCGTATTAGGGGATGGCTCCGGAATATTTCAGGGTTAGCTATAGAATAAAGTGTGATATTCAACGACTTGCACCGCAAAAACTTAGGTGGTACTGATAATTAGCATACGCACAGGTGATAAACAATAGCAAATTCTAGGATAGTAATGCACTAGAACATGAATATCACCAACGCGAACCTTAAAAAATCAGCTCTGAACATTGCATATTAGGGGATGGCTCGCATATAGTTTTGGAATAAATTGCGTTTTGTTTACTAAAAAGATGGCGATTATTCGTCACGATTAGAATATTAACCAAATGGGTTTTCAAAAGGAGATGGAGCCTGTTATTTAAGCAATATTAATTCGTACCAAGCACAGAAAATATTGTATGCAGTAAGGTAATCTACCATATTTTGTAAAGTACGCAATAGTCATATTAATATTTTATCTTCATTTTTTACCCATTTAATAGTTAAAATTCTAGTATTTTGATGGCACCACCACACTAACGAACAGGCCAACAGATCGTATATATGAAAACGTGACAGGGTTTTTTATTTCACGGTTCTGAATCAACCGCTTGACGGATTTTCATGATTTTTGTGTTGAAAGAAAAATAATTTTTAGTTTAAGCCATACTCTTAGTTTAGGGTTTCAGTTTAGCAGCCGACGCTAACATTTTACACTAGCTTTTGGTACAATAACATTTGCTTAATGTAACAGCTGTAAACATTAAGCGTGTGTTACACAAATCCATCATTATTGGATAATAATGGCATGCATTGGGTTGACTTATTTATACTACTAGATAACCCGTTGCTCGAAATCGAGCAAAACTGAAACTTGTATTTAAAAAATAAACAAAAAAAATATAAACAGCAAGACCTTAATCAAAGAGTCACTCTAAAATAATTTATATGACTGATTATAGAAATACAAAAATATTATGATGCAAAAAATATGAAAGTAATCTACAATATCTATAATACAATATCTATAATCGTATAGGCCTATGATGGAATAAAAACATATTTGGTCACACAACATTTGTTTACAAGATGATTCTTCACATTAAAACTGCAAGAAACTTTGTCTTTATGTGTAAACTAGCTGATCTGAATTGTACACGGTTTTAACTGACCACTGAATTCCCGTACGTAGGACGGGCTAACACTCGTTTGAATTTACATTCACTCTCATACTGTTTTGGTTATCTCTTATGTATAGTATCTCTTATGTACATTTAATTTGACACCTCAAACTTTAAAATCCATCAAGCCGTTATTGAGTTATGACTGTGAAAAGAAAACTGCTTGCGTATTAATGTATTAATGCGTATTAATTAATTAAGATGAGTAATGCTATACTCATTGATACGTTCATTTATTTGGTAAGAGGAGGACAGACTGAGGCAGGTATACAGCGGTAGCAAATATCATTGGAGGAAAAATACATATTCCTAATCCTGACCCACCAAAAGGATTAGTAAGGGTCACTTCTTAGAATACCTGTTAATCTCCACCACATACCATTGATCCCAACTCAAATATTGTGACAATCGCTCCCAGTTTCTACCTGCGGTGAGTCTCTACCCTCACCACTACGTGACGTCACGTTAGCTTACAAGCAAATTCATATTCTACAAAGATTGAACTTTTAAACAGACTGTTGTTGAACTATAGGATATGGATGTTTGGAATAGGCCATAGCGACTTCGATATAGGGACATTCCGTAAAATACCTCTTGTAAATAGCTTAATATTCATGGCATACGTAACCAGCATAGCAAACCAAAATGCAAATACAAAAATGACACTCATTTCAATTACTAACGTTCGTGATACATAGCTAACAGTACAAGCATGGCGTGATAGGTGAAAAACGCTGCCAAGCATTCCTGGTAATTAGATGGCAGGTAATGACTAATGTTTGCTAATGACTAATGTAGGGAGGGGAATGCGGACTTTGAACGTTCTGAAATCCAATGTGTGTTTTCTTGCTATCTTTCACGGTTGGTGACAATAATTCATTTCAAGAATATAAATAAAACTGTTTGTTGCAACTAGTACCGGGGGACTGAGCCATGGCTTGGTATAGGTTTACGGTTTGAAATGCATTCTAAAGGAATTCATTTTACCCCATAAAACCCCCGTAAAACCCCGTTTCCATGGTCCGATTATGCTGGTTCGCGAACTCATTCAAGTTAAAGTTTAAGCCTTACCCCTTTAAACCAAGTATCATCAGAGTCGGACAAAAATAACTCAACTTATCGCGTTCACGGAAGTATTTATATATTCATATAAATATATACATATATAACAATTTGAACGAATTGTGTTTTTGGACCCTGGGAACATCAAAATGACAAAGCAAATCGGTCTCGAGCCTAGTCCTACCGTGCCACCTACGGTAATTGCTACTTCACCCAAAAGGGAAATTCGCTAAACAGCAAATGTTGAGTTTTATTAACTAGTGTAACTGTTGCTTGAATTCGAGCAATTGCTAAGTATTACCGGCGTTATTTTAAAATGAATAACACTCATAATTTCTGATGACTTTAAAAGGTTCAACTCAAAGATTATGGAAATACTCAAGATGTACATAAGAGATCGATATAATCAACATTTCTTGTAAATATCTTATAATATTTCAAAATCTGGTCTTGTTTTTTAGTGTTTCTACAAATAGCCTAACTCATAGCCGCATTAGGTTGTCCATAATAACGATTATACAAAAAAAACATTTTTTCTATTTCCTTTCGTTGGTGGGTTTCTATGACTTTCCTATGTTTCCATAGTTTGCAAATCGGCCCTTTCAATGATTACTAAGAAATGTAGCACAGTCAGTGTTAATTCAGTTTTCTTTTTAGTATACCAATTTATCCTGGCTTCCCAGAAAATCCCGTTTTATCCCGCATCCCGTTTTAATCCCGCTCAAGGTCTAAAAATCCCGTTTTCGGGATAATAATCCCGCGAATGGAAACACTGCTCTGATAAAAATTCAGAGTCTAAAATCTCCAGACTAGAGAACTACCCCCTCCTTACGCGCACGAGTTTGCTGTTGGACAATATGTGAAGATGCTCCGCCCCCTCCCCAGCGGTGCTTGAATTGGAGGAATTACGTTATCAGGTGGGTTTCTTAATTTTGGATCATCAAAAGATTATTTTTTACTCAATTTAGATATTTAACAAACATTATTTATTTAAATAAAATGTTGGTGTACTAACAAAAAATTTTTTAAACTTACGTGTACTTACGAACAATATCTTTAAACAAAATCTTCATTACCTTAAAACCGCACACGTTAATCTTGGATTTTCATGATTAACATAAGCAATATCACAATTAATTCGTGCAAGACCTAGATGGATACCAAGATTTTACAGTGATAGTCGTTGAAAATCGCAATTATTTATTTTCATTCTCTACTACGAGTGTCATCCCTTAATTATTAGCCATGTTAAAAGTTATTTCTTTAAGGTCCGCGTTCGTGATAATCATGTTTTAGTAGTTTACAATCCTAGAATTTACTATTATTTATAACATGTTTATAAGCTAATTATCAGTACCACCTACGATTTTGAAGTGAAAGTCGTCGAAAACCACGTTTTATTCTCAAACCCTAACCCAGCCATGCCCTAATACACAATGTTCATAGCAATTTTTTTAAGGGTCGCGTTCGTGATATTCATGTTCTAGTAGTTTACTATCGTAGGATGTATTATTAATTATAACATGTGCATACGCGAATCATCAGTACCACCTACGATTTTGCAGTGATG